AGTACTTCCTGGACCTTTCCCTTCATCTTTGTTATTCTTTCTTCCGCTTGGTTGAGTCTATTGGTGATACTTTCCACTAGCTTTTATTTAGTTCACTGAGTTTTTCATTTCTAACATTTCCAATTTGAGTTTTTAGGGTTTTTAAGAAATATTTTATCTATTATCTTTATTTTATGTGTTTGAGTGTATTGCTTGCATGTGTGTAAGTGCACCTGTGTCGTGCAATGCCTGAGGAGGTCAGAAGGCATCGGGTCCCCCTGGAACTGGAGTTATAGTTGGTTGTTAGCTGCCAATGTGGGTGCTGGGAATTGAACCTGGGTCCTCAGTAAGAGTAGTCAGTGCTCTTAACCACTGACCCATCTCTCCAGCCCTGGTTTTTAGGAGTTTTGTTTCTGTTTTTAGTTTCCAGTTTTTTGAAACAGAGTCCCACATGGGCCATGCTAGCTTTAAGCTCACTCTGTAGCTGAAAATGGCCTGGAGCTTTTGATCCTCTGCCTCTGCTTCCCACGTTCTGGAATTACAGGCATGAGTCACATACCAGCTCTCTACTCTGCTTTTCTACTTGGTACTTTTTTCATGTTGGTGTTTTTTTCATCACAGTGCTATCTCATCCAGCTGGCTGACTTTTCCCTTTTTGTTGCTGACTTTCCTTTCCAGGTCCTGGGCTGAGTTCATCTTGTTTGTGTTCTCTTTTAGGTCACTGATCATTTTTTCTAATGAATTTCTGAGATCTTTATCCTAATTTTATCTATTTTCAATATCTTTAAACTCAGCAGTTGAAGAGCCATAATTTTTGAATGAGTCATATTGCCTGGCTTTTTCAATTTCTTGTGTTTTTGTGTTATAGTCTGAGCATCATTGATCTGGGTGTCTTTTCTGGCTTTACTTGGGAATCTTTATACTGAACCCCACTCTTGAGGGCTCAACCCTGAGTGTCACTCAGTGAACAGAAAGTAGTTATAATAGTAATGATAACAAACCATGCAGGATATGGAAATACAGCTAAAATCAATTACAGCTTATCAATGTATCACCAATGACCATATGCTGGAAAATAAGAAAACTAATATGCTACAAAATTAAAAAGTATTTAGGTAAATGATTGAGATAAAGAAAGGTGGTAGTGAAGGAGGGAAATAGAGGGAAAAGAAGGTTAAAGAAATGAAAAGAGTTTGGAGAAGAATGTTGTGCAGAGGAAGAGAAAAGAGCAAAAGATTAACAAAGATAGAAAACAAAAATTCCTAGTAATGAGAAATCTGTATGTGAGAGAGAGCGTGTGCACACATATGAGGCATGGTGCATGTGTGGAGGTCAGAAGTCAGCCATGAGTGTGGGTCCTCTCCTTCCACCTTGTTTGAGACAATGTCTCTTTGATATTGGAAGCTACATACACCAGGCTGGCAGGCCTATGAGCTTCTGGGAATTCTCCTGTTGCCACATCCCTTCTCACAGTAGGAGTACAGGGATTACAGAGGTGCACACCTGCTTTACATGGTTTCTGGAGATTCAAACTCAGGTCCCCATGTTTGGACCACAAGTGCTTTATTCACTGAGCCATCTCTTTAGCCCATGAACAAATTTTTAAACAAAATTAGATAAACGTAAGAAGAGAAATAAAAATGAGGGTTTTTTTTTCAATATTTTATTTATAGCAGGGCTTGGTGGCGCACACCTTTAATCCCAGCACTCAGGAGGCAGAGGCAGGCAGATCTCTGTGAGTTCAAGGCCAGCCTGGTCTACATAGTGAGTTCCAGGACAGCTGGGGCTACAGGGAGACTCTGTCTCAAAAAGACCAAAAAAAATTTTTTTATTTATTATTTTTATTTTATGTGTATGCGTGTATTGCCTGCTTGTAGGTAAGTGCACCCATGTCATGCAAGGGGGCTGGAGAGATGGCTTAGAGGTTAGGAACACCGGCTGCTCTTACAGAGGACCTGGGTTCAATTCCCAGCACCCACATGGTCGCTGACAATCATCTGTAACTCCAGTACCAGGGGACTCCAACACCTTCTGATTCTGTGGGCATTGCACGACACATGTGCACTTACACGCATGTAGGCAATACACTCATATACATGAAATAAAAAATAAATATTTTAATAAAAAATAAGTTTTTAAAAAATGAATTAAGATGTTCAGACACTTAAAAATGGTTTTAAGAGCACATATACACAAACCAAATCTGTATCAGCAACTATTATTT